CTAAACCCTAAACCCTAACTTAGAGATTCTGGTTCGGAACTCTGACGCTCACCGGTAGTTTTCTGGATGAGGCTTGCAGCTGCTCGAGACCATCATCAACGAGTCGTCTGCCAAGGCACAGAGTGAGATTGAGTTCAGGGCTTATCGGGTTTAGGGCTCAGGGCTTGGGGCAAAAGGCTTTGCGGTTTAGGGCTTAGGGCGTAGGGTTTAGGGTTCATCGCCTTGGGTGAGTGTCAAAGAGAGTAAGTTTGCAGTGTGCAACACGCCCGCACTTTTCATGTATATGCAAATGTAAATGTAGATGTATGTGTATATGCATATGTATATACATCTGCATGCACTCACAGTTGCTGTTGCATGTGTATATGTAAATGAACATGTGCGTATGTGTGTACATGTACATATCCGTATATGTGCACATGTATGTGTACCTGTAGGCATAGTGTGATATATATATATATATATGTATATATATATATATATAGATATGTATGCATCAATACTTGTTCGCTGATGTATCAGAATGACCACCGGCTTTCGGCCTGATCACGGGGCTTGGAGTCTTGGGTTCTGCCGGGCTCAGGGTTTTGGGCCTAGCGGCAACACCCCGAGTTGGAGAGGTGGCGCAGAAGATCTCCGAGAATCTGGCGCGGGCCACTCCCACGACTGGCGTGCTGCCAGGCGTGTGACTGTGCGGATCACGATGCGGAATTGAATGCCTTTTTGCACACTGTGCTCAAAACCACAAATACGACATCGCGAGCCCCGAATCTGAGTGAGATGGCCAGCTGGCACAACGCCAGAAGTGCCAAGACCTCGTTCGGATTTTTGGCCTTGGGTCTTCGACACAGACGTCTGAAGCCCATCTTTGCACTTTCGGGGGCTTCAACCGAAAACACGAGAACCCAAAAAACCTCTAAAGACGTAAATCTCATGCGCTCAATTCCTGTGATCTCAGACCTCGACCCTGGTTTGGCCGACTGCAGCTTCTGCCCACTGGCCTGCGTGCAGATTGTGTGCCTTGGAACTAGTAAGGCCCCCCATTTTGAAACCCAAAGTCGCTAAGCCCCAACTCTGGCTTGTCGGGGTCCCGACTGTAGGGCTCGAGCAATGCACCGATCGTGGCTGTAGCACCGCGGCGGATGTGCATCCAGCTTCAGTTTGGGGCTTGGTAGACTCATCCGGGAGCACTTGCAAAGCTCTACAAACTGCTTCTAGCTGCTCATGTTCAAAGAGGTTGAGGCGTGGGGTCTGGGAGTATAGGGCCTAGACCTTAGCGTTGTTGCTTCTTTGTTCCGCCAAGCCAGACAGGGAGAGCAGAAGGAATGGCACGCACAACGTGTCCTTCCGCGGATCCCTCCCGAATCTTAAGTTCGAGATACTGTCTTGACAAATCTTAAGGGTTTGCAAGCTGGCAGAGTTGCATCTATCACGGGCACGTCCCTCACGTCTCCGCAAGAACAGTCTCGCTGCAAAGAATCGGCCTATCGTTCTGCTTAGAATCTACTTTGGGGTGCAGGACATGCCTTGTTAAGTATGGTTTTGGGGCCTTCAGCCGCGAATGTTGCAGCTTGAAAATGAGGCGGCCATGAGGGCATATGCAGTGCCGAACATGGCGAGTCTGCACACCTTTGGGCAATACCTCGAATCCGAAACCTTCAAGCCTGAGCCCCAAAAACCCCGACGGACGTTGACTTCTGTAGCCAAAGCTCGCAGGTTCATGCTCGAGCAGCTCATCCTCCTGGCACAGGCACACTCGGGTGCAGGGTGGGTGTGGGGCTTTGGGGCCCGAGTTGTAGTATAATTGTCGTATGTAACAAATGTAACGGTACAGTTACTCTACTACTGTATAGTATATCATAGACATAGTGCAGTTTCGCATTTCTGGCCTCCCGCCTAATGCGAAGCCCCACCAAGAGCTCCCGCAGCCCAGGAGCCAGTCCACTTGCAGGAGCCGCCGAAGGAGCAGCTCCAAAACGCTGTTGGGGTTTGGGGGTTGGGGTTTTAGGTTTAGGGTTTAGGGTTTTAAGGTTGTGGGTTTTGGGGAAACGGGTGCGGCGCCGTTTAGGGGCAGGACTTGAGTTTCGAGCATCCGTCCCATGTACTCGGTCCGTTGAGGGCGATGCAAATGTGGTTGGGCTTGTAGAATCACCGACGGCCGCAGCATCTTGAGCCAATCAAGCAAGGGTGATCCATGCGCCGCCAAGCATGCCCTGCTTATTCTTGTTGCGATGATTGCTGCTGCCTTTCTTGGCCTCTCGTGTTTGCGGTACGGGTGCTTTTGGTGTAGGGTTGCCCCGTGTCTCCCTGAACTTCTCAACTCCAGCGACCTTGTGTGTTGGATGGTAGTTCTTTTGGTAGTGGGCCTTGTGTTGTTTGCTGCAGGTTGCCTTTGTGCATTTCTTCTGCACCCTAGCAAGCCACCACGCAAATTCTGTGAGTCTCAACCTGCGATCGCCTCACCTCCTACAGGGAGTGGGGGTATCGGAAGAGTGATGTGTTGCCTTAAACCCTGGACTCGAGGCCCTAGATCTCGAATAAACCCTAAACCCTAAACCCCAACCCTAGAACAGGGATTCCTGAGGGGCCGCTGGTATGCGAGGAGCCGGCACAGTCCGCGAACCAGTTCTTCGATAGCAAGCGGAAGGCAACTCGCAGTTCTCATACAGCCCAGACGTCCTTTTGGGGTTTAGGGGTTTGACATTCAGGCGATTGCACAAGTCCTGATGCAAAAAAGGGTTTAGGGTTTAGGGTTTGGGGTCTGAAGAATTGGCAAAGGGTTCCTTCTTGTGGGCATGGGGCATCTATAGTTCTATAGTGGTCTGAGTATGCAGGCCCCTTAAAGTGTAGTCTCATTGTGCAGGCTCCTACATTATCTCCCCGTGTTGTGTAGCTTTAGGTATAGTCTTTGGTCGCGCTTTCGAAGACGTACTTTGCATGAATTACACCAGCATGGCAAACGCTGCCGTCCTTGTCGAGTTCCACAGGGAGCGCGGATGTAGGAATGGGTAGAGGGTTGCGGGATGACTGGGCACTCTGCCTGACTATGCAGGGGCCTTACCTGAACTCTGAACCCTACGCCCTAAACGCCGTAAGCCTTAGCAAAAAACCCTAAACCCAGTCTTGATGGACGAAGTACTCGAAGCAAGTTAGATGGAAAGAGCCCGTCAAGGCCCATGCCGCGGAGTGCTTGAAAGCAACTGTGGGGTCTATGGCAAAGTGGTCGCGATGATGATGGGTGTAGTGTTGATGGGCATACGGTCGGTGGCGAGGTTTGGGGCCTCAGTGCAACAAGAGCCGTCAGCAGCCAAGAATCGGATGGCAGCTTTCTGATCAATCGTAAGCCGCCGCCCGTATACATCCCCAATACCCGAACCAACACCGATCACCTCCCCCGAACCCCATCGCCCCTTGGACGGCGATTACTTTGAGCCCCGGGACTTGCCCCACGCCATCCGAGTTTCCGGGCAGTGCGACCGAGTCCGAACACAACAAACTACTGTTCAGGTTTGCGGCGACTGGTTTCAGCACGTCCGCGGGGCTTTGCAGCACACGCTGAGCCCGGGCAGAATTGGTGCTGAAGGGTTTAGGGTTAAGGGTTTGTGCGCAACCCCGATGCAAAAAGGGTTTGGGGTGTTTGTGGGTTCAAGGTTCAGTACTTAAAGTGAAGCGGGCAACTTGGATGCAAAAAGCGAGACCTCGATCAAGAAGTGTTTTTGAATTGGTGCTTCAGCTTTTCTCCTCGCTGGGTAGAGGCTTTGGTGTCACGGTGGTTTGTGGGTAGCTATAGATCTACTTATCTACTTTTTCTGCTCCTAATTCAGCGCTCGTACAATCACCCGTGCAATCCTCACAACGGCTTACAAGGACCGCAGAAAATCTCAAGTAGGGTGTTATAGGGCAAGTCCTTTTGATTTTGGAGTTCACGCCAATTCTAGGGACCCCTGTCAGGGTTTCGAGTTTAGGGCTTCGGCGGCATCGCCATTATAGTGTTGTTTCAGAGCAGCTTTTTTGGAAACCTTAGGGAGGTAAAAAGGGAACCCTTATAGTATCCTCTAGGGAACCCTAAACGGAAAAACCCCTAAATGACTGTGGATGTCAGAGTGGACCAAGGAAAGTCACGACGCCCCAAAACGAAGTTCCGAAGTATCAGGTCCTCATCGTTTAGAACAGGGTTTTGGGACATATTCTGCCCTCAACCTTAAATCCTTATTACTGTAAGGACTTACAAGGGTGCAGATGTGACGCTCTACGATGCTCTACGTCGAAGACGATTCGAATCATCAGAAAAGGGCTTGGGGGTCTGCTATACTAGATGTGTATTGGACCCTATGGAAGTGTAGATGCACTTGCCTTAGACCACCTCCATGCCGAATCTCGAATATTGGGGGTGGGGTGCGCTGTGAGAGCCAGGAGGGGATTACGTAGAGTTTGGGTTTTAGTGTGTAGGCTTTCATCTTGGGCCCTAGTTCCTGAGCCTTTCAGCGCTGATGGGTCATGAAAGCACCGAGGCATGTGTACGTGATAGAAGCTGAAGTTCATGCGGCTTCAGTTGGGAAATCCGCCGGGACCTGCGGTTCCCAATCTCAGCTCTAAGCCGAAAAAATCATGAGGAGCCGCTTCGGCACGCAACCGGCGATCTTCGCCCCTCGCCTGGCTGGGTTTTGGGACTTGGGTGCTGAACTCTGTAGAGTTGGGATGTGAGGTTATCGGTCTTTCTGGGCGCGGATTCGGATTTTGTTTCGCAAGCTGGTGTCGGGCTCTGGCTTGCAACTCTTCCAGTTTCTGGGTCTTCGGGTTTCGTTCATCGGATGCCAGGTGGCATCGATTCATTCCCTCTTTTTCTTGAAAGGGTGCTCATTTGGTTTTGGGCTCCCGTACGCGCTTCTCAATCTCAAGTGCAGGCGAAGCAGCTACTAACCCTAAGCCCCAAATTGCGTATCTCTAGACCCTTAATGCGAAAGTGCGCGAGTCGAAACCCCAAAGTGCTTGCCGCGAGACATTCAATTCCCAACAAGTTGTGAGAGTGTAAACCCCTCAGTCTTGACCCTACCTCAACCCCAAGCCCTGGGATTGCATCCTGGTGATTCGAGCTCAACTCATTGCAGGCGCCAGGTGGGACTACTTATTTCGATCCAGCCTGTAACAGCTCCTCAGCCTCTCAGCGCCAAAGTGCCTCAAAGTTATAAAGCCTAGGCCAGAAGAGTATGCAAGCGCCTAAGAGATCCTAAGCGCGAGAAAGTGTTCCAGCGCCTACGGTTACTTTTGGAGGCCTAGAACCAGGAGGGCAAGGCACCCCGCATCAGTATGTACCGAAGGTATTTAGGAGGATTCGGGAAGGCGGCGGAAATTATTCCCCCAAGGACAGGTGGTTCCTGGATCACGGTCAAAGTATTTTTCCCCCAAGTACTGGTGGATTCAAGAACACGAGACAAACTTCAAGGTTATGGCAAAGCGGGATTCAGCAAGTACATGCGGATTCAGAGTACGGCCGAAGCGAGTTTTCACGCAAGCTGCGCTGCCCCGTTGTGCCCTCGCGCATGCCGTCGCCGCTCGCGCACGTTTCGCACACGCGCGCCGAGTTTTCCTATACAGGCTATACCTCCACACTCTCGCACGTTTCGCACACGAGCTTTCGCGCAGGCTCTGCCCCGTTCCTGCTCGTCGAGCGACGCCGCGCA